TCAATAAAAAAAAACTTTTCTTTTAATTGCAAAACCTACAAAGATTTAACATTTTCTAAGTTCACTGAATTACCAGCAGTTTAAAACAGTATATGCAATAACTAGTAAGTCAACAAATGATTGCCTCTCTGCAAAAAATTTACACGTAACTTAACCTGACAGTGATGGAAAATGCTTAATAGTTACAAAAAAAAATCTAGCAGCTATCTCAATGATACAGTTCGTCAGTAACAGTGATAGATTGCTCTTACTGATCATACGAAAAGTAACGTTTTCTTCTCCCCTTTTCCTTCATGCTTTTCTTTCTCTTCCAAATTCATTATGAATTTTGCAGTACTTCCCAGAATAAATTACTATTAGTTTACACCACTTTAGCCCTCCCCAAAAAGAGCTTACAAACGATTATTCATTAAAGTTTTGTTAAAAGTTAAATATGAGAAGACACAACTGAAAACCTTCTTATTATTTGTTGACTTCTCTCATTAAACTTAAGGTCAGTAAAAAAACAAGTTTTTTGATTCGACTACTTTTAACCAATAAAACAATTATGCTTTTTTTTTTTTTTTTTGAGCCCTAATGCTCTGCAAACTGTTTATTTATGGTAAGAGCCTAAAAGATTATTGTTAACATACTGTCAATCAAAAACGGTTTTGTTCAACTGTTCGCTCAGCAACCATTCAGTTACATTCAGTTTTTCTAAAAAAAAAATTGGTATAAAAATAAAACGTGAAGTAAAACAGAGCAGAAAACAAAAAAAAAAAGTGAGGAAGAAAAAAGACAGAACCTTTAGCAATTTTCATCACTTAGAATGCGCCAAAAATTTTCGGCAACAGTGGTTATATTTGACTCCAATGCTGAGAAAAACTTTGCTTTCAAATGACTACGGCAACGGTGAAGATGATGCATGATACAAAATTTCTTTGTAATTGAATGAAAGAGCGAATGACTAATAAAATATTAGTAAATAAACAGAAACACTTTAAGAATGTTTAACTAGACAATTTAAAACCACTCATGTCATGTTCAAAAATATTAAATTACAGTATAATCGTCTCTAATACAGCAAATGATTCTTTTTTTTTTTTCAGAAAAAATATAAGTGAAGCTGAAATGAACAAAATGATGGTAATAGTTAGAAATGTGACTACCGACACTCTTTACTCTGAACTCCGTTAAGAAAAATCTCGCCTCTTTTCTTGAAAGAATATCTTTAAATTTGAGCATGTATATATGTATAAAATTAGCTAAAAAAAGAGCATATATATATATATA